TTTGACGAGAAAATCGAATCCTGAACAAGGGTCGCAGTTCGTTTGGTTCGAGGTAAGGAGGTTGAACGCGAAGGAGTGTTCTTTGACCACGATTTGTTATTGTCTGAGGGTGAACGATCAAGGTAATGAAATCTTTCCTTCATGAGAACAGAGTAGGATGAGAGAGGTTGAAAGAATTTAAGCTCAAATATCGTTACAGAACGAGGTGCCGTTTTGGCGAACGTCCTCAATGGATTCATCATTTGGAAAATGGAAAAATGGATCAAAAAAATTTTCATGATAATCAAACCTTCCACTCTTAATCACTTGATAAATGTCATGTGACAAATAGTTAAATTTAAATATAATTTTTGACTCCGAATCAAGATTGTATTCATTCCCGACGCAAAATAATGTATGGTTTTCTTTTGAGAATCATTTTTTTTTCAGGCATCTAGTTTTAATTTCTCTAATGCCTGATCAATTCGTTCCAAAATTTTATTGTACTCTTCTTCCCATAACAAAATCTCTTCCCCTTCATGTTCCATCACTCTTCCACTTTTCTTATCAACATCCTCCTCCAATACACAATACTTTTTAGACAACCAATACCTAATCTCATCTATCAATGGTATAGTGTCCGTCTCTTGACGTTGTTTAATGCTTGCCGCTGACTCCTCGACCAATTCTAGGAATTGTGGCTCTTCTAGCACTTCATTGATGTGGTCGGCGAACCAATGTGAACACCATGATTCTAATCGTTCAACACCGAGGTCTAACGCCGTTCGCATTAACGTATATATATCTTTGATTGGTTCCTTGAGATTGGTGAGCGCTATGGATGCAATGGATTTTAACTTATCCAACAAATACATGTCGGCCGACACGAGCACATCATAAGAGATTGAAGGAGGAATCTCACATTTGTCGGTATAGATGAATTCAAGGATTAAACTAAAGACCTCTGGAGTACAACCTGATAATTTGAATACCGGCAAATTTTTGTTGTCCTGCTGATGGTGGAAAATAGATTCGGAAAATGAACCCGTAAACATGGCTTTAAAATAATCGGAACGTCTGGTAAGAAATGCTCGGTGACAAGGGAACGTTCGATTTCCAACATTAATGATAAGATCTGCTTGCGCCAATTCTTGTGCACTCAATGAATTTTCCGCTACTTGATCTTCGCTGGAATATCGCCTGTCACGGATGACACGAGTTTTACAAAAATGTTCTAAATCCTGCTGCAATCGCTGAATCTCTGACTTTTCACGCTCTTGTGCCCTTTTAGGCGAAGACTTATTAAGATACTCTTCCGATATATCTAAATCAAATTCGTAACATAGTGCCAAAATTTCCATAGTGTATTCTTCCTGAATTTCTCCAATTTCTCCAGTATACAAATATCTCAAGATTTCTCGAAAACACAGAGGATTTCGATGAATCGTTATAATTTTGGATGTAAGCCAGGTGGTCTCGAATTTTTTGGCAAAATATTTCGAGCGCGCACAAAGAATACATCGATGCGCCGCGAATTCAAAAATTTCAAAGTTATTATTGGAAACCAATTTAAAAACTACGTCGCAAAATGACTCCAGGGGTTTTTCGAACAATTGACCCAAAAAGTGCCGATATGGTTGGGTTTCATCAACAGCCTTTGTAAATTCGTGACTAAGCAACAATTCCCTTATTCCTTCTGTTAATGCACCATAAAGACAACTACAATTGAAAAAAAGGTGACAAAGTTAGAAACAAAATGCTTTTTAAAAACCCATCCATCCAAAAATCGAACGAACCGTGCGCCTTCGAAGGTGTCTTGTTCACATCGAGCACCACTCTCTAGTAAAAACTTTACCACTAGTGAACATTGCGACATGAAAAAAAAAAAGAAAGAATTAACAGAAAAGATCAAGAAAGAAAGGAACAAAAATAAATAAATAAATAAGATGACGGTTCACCTTCATAATGTCCACTTTAGTTAAAGGAAAAGATTCGTTAATATCATGAGATTTCGATATGTATATATATATTTTTTAATTATCTGATAAGAAGTCGAATAATATACCACAAGCAAGCCAGATATAAAGGTGAGCATTGCCAAATATCACTCCGATTGATTGGAGTAGAAAAATTTCTCACTAAACTGGTGACGGATGGATAGATGAAGGTGTAAGAAAATATTGAACATATTAAACACAAAAAAAAAAACTGTTATATGCGATAAAAATTTCAACCTTTCTACCCGTTCAAGGTCGCCGGCCCGGCATGCCTGCAGCAAATTTTGAAAATTTTGTTTATTGTCTCGGCCATCGAGTGGCGAATTAGCCTGTAAGGTGGTGCTCATCAGAGCCTTTTAGGTTAAATTCGAGTGCGTATATCCCCTTTTTATACAAACCATGTGCTGACAAATCAATTATTTAATTAAGGAAACAATGAGACGATCGATAATCGACGAACTGGTCAAAATGAGAAGATGTGCGTGGTAGACATCCTTCATCAAAGATGTTGTAATTATGCCCTTTTATAGTAAATTGATAATATTTATTAAATTAATCTATAACTGGTAAAGTTTCAGTTGCTATCTTAGATCGCAAGGGCAGTGCTACCCTTGCGTTACCTTACGGCACTTGTGCATCCTGTGCAGACGGTTTTCGAGTGGAATTTCCATACTGCATTATATCAAAATTTCGGAAATACCACACATGATTTTGACAAAACTCTTGTTATTGTTCAGTTTCTTCTTTTTTTCTAACTTTAGAAATGACTGTTAATGGTCCTAATGCATCTTACGATGTTGGCATTATCTTACAGGTGACCAAAACAGAGTTAACAATAAATGTCGTCATGCGGTTAATGTAGTAAAAATTAAAGTTTTTTCTTTGTCGCCTATGAGTATGGTTCCAGGATAGATTCCATATTTTATATATGACGTTGTGCAGAGTGTGACATAAATAAAAAATAAACCAAAGTAGCCATTATTATTCGTTTAGTTGAACGAAATTTTATTGTAATAACTATTCTATTTCTACATGTAATATGTTGATTGTAATACAATACACAATGATATGCGAATCCGAGAACTCGCCGTCTCGGGCTATATACACATTATTTGATTAACTGGATTTTCGAAATCTTTTTTTTTTTTTAAATAAAAAAAATACAAACAAATCTTGATTAAGAATTGCACACGATTATCTATTTATTATAAAGTGGAGTATTTCTATTTGATTATAAAGGTTAGGAGAATCGTAAGAGATCCTTTCATAAACATGTTTCAAGTTAAATGGTGTCGATCATCCAAAGTCCCATTTTGATGCGTCATCTCTGTGAAATTTGATTTTTTTCATCGGTTCCTCCGGAATATCTTCCTCAAACTTTCTTTTATCCTTTGGCAAAGGTGATGATGAGTCATAATCGAGATTTGGAAATTTACATTTTAGAGATTTTTTTATTTCTGGTGGTGGCTCAATGCCGTATTGCACAAACTTCAGATAATAATAATTGTAATCCTCATCCCATTGATAGCTTTTTTCGTTCTCGCCGTCTGCATTACAAATAGTTGGTTCCTTCAATTCTGCTTCCAAGTCAATATCTCGGGTAGATTTCTCGGTGCTAATTCTGTGGACAACTGCATTTTCTACGTTTTCGGACTTCTGCTCAACACTAGTGTTTTCAGTTCTTTCTTGATTGTTTGGTGCTGGTTCTTGCACGTTATTTGGAGTTGATTGACTCAGTGTATCTCGATGAGTCGAATCATTGGTTTGCACGAGGATAACATCAGAGTCTGGTATAGGATTGAGTAGACTGTCCGGAATCAAAGAATCATCAAAGTCAACAAGTGAATCCAGAAGTGATTCACAGAGATCTAATTTAAGAATGTCATTATCATTATTACACGACAAATTATTTACTTGCGAAATTCCAGATTTTTCGTCGGCAGCACTGCTTGAAATGGTGGATTGAGAAAGCTCCTCGTCAGTTGATGCAAGCGTCTTTAAATTATTTTTCTCAAAATCGCGTGGAATATCTAAAATTGATGGCATCTGTGAACCATTGGGTTCTTCTTGACGGGTCAAGTCATTACTTTGTGCGGGAATAATCTCGGGATGATCTTCAAGAGTCCAAAAATCAGAAATTTCTGAAGTATCCTGAGTGTTGCTAAATATAGTTGTCCCGCTGTTAAAACTTTCCATGTCGAATTCGCGTACTGACTGTGTTGATTTAATTTCGATCAATGAATCTTCACGAGGATTGTCAACCGTTAGGTTAATAACGGAAATGTCGTCAGAGTTCACCTCAAGCTCAAGGTCCGAGGATGGAAGAGGTGATGAAGCCTCATTTAATGTTGAATTGTCACTATCATTAGGCTGAGAAATTTCTCTGTTAACACGCTCGCACCACGAAAGAAGGTCTGGGTCAACGGCACCAAAGGATGTTCCTTCTTCTATAGTAACCTTGTCAATATCATTATCTAGCATTTTTCCAACAACTCGCAATTTTTGTCGTACCATTTGCCATTGAATGGAATCTGAAGTATCTTTAACCAGCATATATTTGATATCAACGCTGCCTTGTCGACCAATCCTATGTGCCCTATCCTCGGCCTGCAGTAGAGTGGATGGATTCCAAAACAACTCCGCGAAGATTACCAGGTCGGCGGCATGAAGGGTTAAACCCGTGCATGCCGCTGTAAGAGACAAAATGGCTACTCTCGTTTTTTTGTCATCTTGGAATTGATCGACTAAAGCCTGACGACGGATTTGGCTAGTATTTCCATCAATGCGAATATAGTTTTCCCCGTATTTGTTTCTAAGATGATCTGTGATTGAATCTAAAACTTCCAGGTGGTGGGCGAATACAATGAACTTTTTATCCGAGTTTTCATATATTTCGGACAGATATTCCTGGACAGCAGGAACTTTTGAACGACCTGTTTCAAGCCACATTTGCACAAGTAAAGCTTTGCCTCGCAATTCTGCATCACGTTGTTTACTTCCGGTAGCTGTTTGGGAGATAATGCGAAGCTCCTTAGATTCCTTCTGCAACTTTTGAATTTCTCTTAGTGATGATGCAGAAATATCGACATAAATAATTTGACGAGTTTTGGGGGGCAACTCGAGCTCAACATCTTTTTTCAGTCGACGAATCAGAATCGTTCGATCTAGTAACCAGTATAGTTCATCCAAATGCGAAGCACCGGAATAATTCCACCCGAATGGGCCCTTAGTCGCATCACAGTATCTTGCTCCAAATTGGGGGAATGATGCAAATGTTGACTTATCCAGTGCATTGGCCAAAGAGAAAAGCTCGGCAGGTTTTGAAAGCGCTGGTGTTCCTGTAAGCAAAAGCGCTCTCACTGCTTTTTGGACCAAAGGGCAGATCCCTCTAGCTCTTTTCGTCTCTTTATTCTTCAAGTAATGTGCTTCATCACAGATGACAATTTTAAATTCGTTCGCACAAGCTTCGCCCATTTTCGCGGCAATCTCATAGCTCGTGATCACAAATCGGCGTGTAGGAAAGGAAATTCCACTTTTTGTATTAAATATTACATCAATAGATTTTTCAGACACTCGGAGCCATTTTTGGATTTCAACAGACCAGGTCAATCTCAGACTTGAAGGACATATTATAAGCACCGGCCAATCAGATTCATAAAAACTGCAGATAGCAAGAGCCTGAATGGTCTTTCCAAGGCCCATCTCATCACCAAGTAGAATACGACCATCTCTCATGATAGCTTGAATAACGCCCTCTTTTTGAAAGGGCATTAATTTTGACCACAAATCAGCTGGAATTCGTTGTCTGATTTCACTTTCTATTTGAGTATGCCTATCTTGTGAATCCCTGGAAATGTTGAATAGCTTCACGATGTATGCTGGGAAGCCATTTATGTTTAGCCGGACCTCCGAAATTTCTCTTAGTCGCTTTATACAATCCTCATATTGTGTCAGAGGTAGAATCCATCCTCTTTCACTCGAATTGTACTTCGAAAAAGGGTGTTGTTTTAATACATCGCGTACTTTAGGGTGAAAACCGCGAACCACAAAATCATCCTTCCCAACTATATCGAAGTTCAATTCAACGACAGTTGGCTGACTTCGCAGTTGCATGATTGGGTTGATACTATCCATTCTTCGTTTTTGTGGATCAACTTTGGTTATATTTATCGACGGGGCACTCGATACCTGAGTAGCTGGTATAGCTTGTGAGGACCCCGAACTTTGAGCTGAAGATGCACAATTACTACTATCCCATTGAAAGAAACCACATTTCCGTAAAGGACACGAGTAAAACCAACGACCTTTATTGGGACCGGGCTTTTTGGTTTCAAAGTGGCTCGCGTTTTTCCCGCACTTGCACAACATCTCAAATAAAAGATTTAAAGAAGGTAAATAGTAATAGGAAGGAGCTGTACTTTTTCACGTATTATATAAAATAACCTAAAATTAAATACCACAGTTTATGATTTTTAATTACCAGTTACATCAATTGTAGTAATGATCTACGTCCTTTTTTTTTTGGAAATACGTAATTCTATTTTGAAAATAAAATTGTAAGATCAAAGCAATATGATAATAATTTTTTTCAAAAAATATCCAAGTATACAGAATGTAGAAACAGATATGCGGCCTAATGGATTCATTCTAATTAAGATCTTTTAATAATTTGTTAATTTTATAAATATTATAAATATGTAAAAGAAAAAAATATAATAATTAAAATTTTAATTTTGTTATATACAAAGTATATAAATCTAACTTTAATTTATTTTTTACAAACAAATTATATTTTGTTTAAAGTTTATTATTATTATATATATATAGTATACATATTATATTAAATATTGAAAAATAAAATTATTATATTGTATTAATCTTATTAATTTAAACATCTCTTATATACAATAGTAGCAAGTTTAATACTAGCTTACCTATACTATTTATATCTAGCTAATATTGAAAAAAAAAATTTTAAAACAATACTATATGCTAAATATAGCTATGGATAGTGACTATACTTACTTACTTAGAAAATTTGATAAGATATAAGAATAAAATAAAAAGTAAAATATATATATATATATAATTAAGATTATAATCACATGAGCTACTTGTATTAAAACTATATTAATTAAACTATAAATTTTATATAAACAAAAAAAATATCTGAAAGAGAACCAATAGTCCAGTTCTTGCACTAGTGCTGAGCTTAAAGATATATCTCTTATTGATATAAATAGTAGAATATAATTAATATTATTTGTTATTACGATAATTGTTATTATACAGTGTGTAACAAAACTTTTTGGAATTTTATTTACGTGACATAAATGTAAATAACTTTTTCAAAACAAATGCA